GGGGGGGGGGGGGGGGGAATATCTTTTTAGGTTAAAGAAATCAGATAAATTATTAAGTTGACTTTTATTTATGTGGATTTTAGGAATTTTGTATTTGCTTTGGGCATCTTTACGTTTTCCCTTCCCCCATCCTCTCCTTTAGTAGCTCTCTGCAGGAAATTTTGAAAGATGCTTGGAGGAACACTTCGTTTCATAATGAGGAGACCCCATATAGATTCAAGACCCTGGGGTTTGTGGCTTGAACTCTCTCAGGGCTCACAGGAGCAGAAAGGACTCTGTGTTGCCTACTGAAGGAGGAAGGACAGCCTGGCCTCAAGGCGTAGATAGAATCTCTGTGTTAGTCACTGAGTTTTCATTAACTACAGCTTTCTCTTTCCCCAGTGCAACCTCGTCCCTTAGTGAAGCTTCTGCCTGGAGAAGCAGTCCAGCAGAAACAGGAGTCAGCCTCCCTGTGCTTGAAAGGTGACTCTGAGGTGGGTTCAGTTTTCCTATTCACTGTGGGTGCATCCCCTTCCTTGTTTAGCCAACCCATGTATAAAAATGCATTCTTGGTAGTCGGCCTCCTTGGATGTTTTTCTTCTCCTTCTCTCACTCCTCTCAACCTGGCTGTCCTGTCTGTGCTGCATCAAGAAAGGGATTTCAAAATCCTTTTTTTCATCGCTTTCCTTGATTTTTATCAGTTATTCTTACCAGCAGTGCTGTCAAGGACCCTCAGTTACTAAGAGGAAAAGGACCTCTTGCTCTTTCAGGAGCTGGTGGTCTTTGAGGATTTGAATGTATTTCACTCCCAAGAAGAATGTGTGAGCCTGGATTCTGCTCAGCATCCCTCATCAGAGAAGGAAGATGACAATAATGTCGGGGAAATGATGTTACTGGGTAAGAAATCAAGTCCTTTGTGTGTGTTCAGGTTGTGAGCTATGGGAAAAGTGTGTGTTCATCCCTTGAGCTTTTGAGACACTATTCACACCTGCTGAGCACGTGTGCACATGCACATTTTATTTTATTTTTGTTTTATCCCATGGGGCAGAGCCTAGCCACAGAGCTCCAGCTATGGGTGGCTATTTTCCCTGTATCTTGGGGGCAGCAAGGGGAGAGGGAACATCTTGGTAAGCAAGACCTGGAAATAGAAAATGTGGACAGACTGTTTTCAAACACATTTTCGGAATCCTATTCTCAGAAGAGGGATATTTTGAATTAGTGTTTTAATTGGACACATGTCTAACTCTTTTATACTCCCTCTTTCTTGATGTTCAGTAGATGCAAAGCCTACTGGTATAAGTGAAATGTCCTATTATTGAAGAAAATTGTGTCTAACACTTAACACTTATGTGCCATGCTACCCACTAGTTCAAGTACTTTGCATGCATTTGTTATCTCATGTTTTTCTTTTTTTTTTTTTTTTTGTCTTTTTTGTGACCGGTAAGGGGATCGCCCCGCACCACGCTCAGCCAGTGAGCACACCGGCCATTCCTATATAGGATCCAAACCCGCGGTGGGAGCAGTGCTGCGCTCCCAGCGCTGCACTCTCCCAAGTGCGCCACGGGGTCGGCCCTCATGTTTTTCTTATAATGATACTGTGGGGTATACGAATTATTACTACTTTACAGATGGCGGGACTGAGGCAGAGAGAAGTTAAGAAATTTGCTAAAGGTCACCCAGCTGTAAGTAGAGAGCAGGAATTTGGACTTGGAATCTAACGTCAGACTTTGCAGTCATTGCCCAGAGTTGTACTGTCTCCTGGCTGCATTTTTCATAATTTTCTTAATGAATTCCCTATGTGGTTGGTGAATGGGGCCTTCTTTATTTGTCCTTATTTCCCAGTAATGGTTGACAAGTGTCCCCAGTACTACATATGGACCAGTCTGACAGCAACCTCTCTATAGTCTGCTTAGAGATGTGTCACCTTTTCACTAGAAATGTGCTGCTATCCTAGAGGCACATGCCCTTACAAATGTCTTGACTGACTGCCTAATGTTTTTATTTTGCCTTTAGGGCCATTTGCTTCTCAAGCTGAAGTTGAGCAGAGAGTAGGTTTTGGGAGTTGCCTGTTGGGACAAAAATCCAGTAAATGAACTCTTAGCTGTATTATACTGTATGGTCAGGGGTAGTGGTATAGAATGAGCCTAGTTAATTTCCCACAGAGGCTGGCCAGTTGGTTAGAGTGTAACTAGTTGAGTTAACTCAATTGGTTAGAGTGTGGTGCTAATAACACCAAGGTCCAGGGTTCGATCCCTGCACTGGCCAGCCACAAAAAAATATCCCACAGGTCGCTCTATGTAACGTTTTCCTTATTTTGGAGGAAAGTGTAAAAAGATCAAGTTTATTACACTGGATTTTTCCTGAGTCTTGGGTAAAGCTAGCATTTATTTTGGGTGACTTGGTAGGTATGCTGCCAACTCCAGGGACACTTTGGCCATGCACTTTGGGACCCAGAGACCCAATCCTTACCCTCCACTCCCCACTTCCGCTGCTCATATCCTGAAGCTGATGGTTTAAGCTTAGAGTTATTTGCCAGCATTCCATAAATGCTACGTGTTCTTCTCCTCAAGCAGGGTTAGGTTTTGAAGTTGATATTCAGAGGACTACAAAGATATGTAGTACTCAGTTCCTCCCTTTCATGATCTTCTAGTATGGTTTGTAAGATAAGTCATTCCCATAAAAAGTGAAATTGTTATAGGTAAAGAGCTATCACAAGGTTGAGGCTGTATTTGGACCCAGGAGCAGAGTTTGGAAAAAGATGAATTTGATTTTAGAAGAGTGTAAATCCATGACAGGAAAGAAAATGATGAGGTTGTCCTCAGGATACACTCATGCGTAGCTTAACAACAGGGATAAGTTCTGAGAAATGCATTGTTAGGTGATTTTGTTATTGTGTGAACATCACAATGTGTGTGCTTACACAAACATAGATGGTGTAGCCTATTACACACGTAGGCTATATGGTATGGCCTGTTGCTCCTAGGCTACAAGTCTGTACAGCATGTGGCTGCACCGAATACTGTAGGCAGTTGTAACACAATGTAAATATTTGTGTATCTAAACATATTTATCTTTTTAGAAAAGGTACAGTAAAAATATGGTACAAAAGATTAAAAAATGGTACACCTGTATAGGTTGCTTACCATGAATAGAGCTTGTAGGACTGGAAGTTGCTGTGGGTGTCAGTGAGTGAGTGGTGAGTGAATGTGAAGGCCTAGGACATTCCTGTACACTACTGTAGACTTTGTAAACACCGTACACTTTGGCTACAGAAAATTGTGCTGCCAAGTTATGACAGATACAATGTCAGTAGGCAATAGAAATTTTTCGGCTCCATTGTAATGTTATGGGACCCTTTTTTTTTTTTTTTTTGCAGCTGGCTGATACAGTGATCTGAGCCCTTGACCTTGGTATTATAACACTGCTCTTTAACCAGTTGAGCTAACTGGCCAGCCCAAGGACCCCATTACAATCTTATGGGACCACCGACGTATATGCATTGACCAAAATGTCATTATTTGATGCATGACTGTGTTTGGAAGTTGGAGATTGGAGCTCGGATGTAAAGATAAAGAGATTTAGGAATCATCAGCATATGGGTGATAGTTGAAATAGTAACATATAGTCAGTTTGCAATGGGAAAAGTATAAGGGATTGAACCATGTGGGGGCAAGAATCAAAAAAGTCCCTTAACATAGGAGAACAGAGAACGTGTGTTTAAGTCCAAGTGAATCACATAAAAATAGGTAAAAATGTAGAATTCTTAGTAAGATAGTCCTTATGGTTGTATCTGCCCTCAACTGTAATAAGAGAATATATCTTTTCAAGATTGATGAAAATTGACTAAATACCCTGCAACAAAGAAAGACTCAGTAGATTTCAAAAAGTATAAATAATACAATAGGATCTGTCATAATGCAATACTCTAGAAATTAATAATGAAATCAGAAAATAAAAGTTTCTTCCTACTGGAAATTTTGGGGGAGGAAGGGCAGCAGGCTAGTATGACCTGGAAATTTTAAAACCGTTAAGCTACCTTGGGTCAAAGGGAGAAATACAAATTAAAATTGCATAATTTTTCTGAAAAACACTGTATATGAGAATCTATGGTATAACCTAAAGTGGTGCTCAGAAGAAAATTTATGTCTGTAAAAATATGTGAATTAATTTAGAAAAATTATAATAATTAGGCCTCCGATTTAAAGAAAAACAGCAGGTTAAATTAAAACAGAATATTTTAATAAATATAAAATTAGAAATTAATGAGTTTTTAAAAAACTAATAAATAGATTTAAACAAAAATATATAAACCAAGTTCCACAGAGGAAATTGAAATTTTCAAAAACTAGCCTCTCACCCAAGAAAAAGCACCAGCCTCAGACAGTCTCCCAGAAAATTTTTCTAAACCTTTAAAAATTAGACAATTCAAGTGCTATGAAAACTTCTAAAGTACAGTAAAAGAAGGAAAACTTCCTGTTTCTTTTTATGAAATTAGTACAATAAGGATACTAAAACCTGATAAAAATTGCTATGACCAAGTAATACTAGGAATGCAAGAATGACTAAAGGCTATTAAGTATAGAAGGATATAATAAACCTGTTAATATGATATACTTTATGATAAGGAGAAAAATCCAGTGATCATTTTCATAATTACTGATAAGATATTTGACAAAATTTAAACCTTTTTATTATATGAACATTTAACAAAATAGTCATTAGTGGTACTTCCACAGTAGGGTACTTATCCTTTCAGCCAGTATTGAAGTGTTTCTTTAAGTGGGCAACACTGGGAGGCGTTCCCACTTCCACTACAATTAGGAATACAACAGTGAAGCCCACTATCACTATTACTATTTAATATTGTGTTTCAGGTATTAGCTAGTGCAGTTAAATGAGAAAGAAATTAAATGCATAAGGATTTGAGAGAAAGATAAAGCTGCTTCTCTTTACATATAATTGTATAGCTGGAAAACCCTAGAGAATGTCTGAACACTTACTGTAAATAATAAAAGCATTCAGTAAGGCAATGGGATGTAAAATTCATATGCAGAAATCATTAGCTTTCATATGTGCAGTCATTTAGAAGATACAGTGGAAGACCCATTAAAATAGGAACATAAAATATTCAATACTGAAGAATAAACTTAAGAAATGTACAAAATTAATACGGAAACTTTAAAATATTTCTAAAGAACACAAAAGTAGATTTGAATGAATGGAAAGAATTACCATGTTCTTGATGAGGAATACTTAACATCATAAAAAGGTAATTTTTTCCTAAGTTGATCTGAGTTTGATGTAATCTCTTTAACAATACCAGTAGGACTTTTCCCCTGGAGCTAGACAATCTGATCTCAAAATTAATTGGAAAAATAAATACAATTAACCAGGAATATTTTGAAAAAGAAGAGCAGCAGGTGTAAGAGATGTTCTAGCCCTATCAAGTATTAAAGGAGCCCATAAAGCCTCCATAATCAAAACAGTGTGGTATTGGCATATGAGTAGATCCACCAATGAGATCGAATAAAAAAAAGCCTGGAAATAGGCTCAGATACCCAAGAGAATTTAGTGTGTGATAAGGCATTTTAAATCAGCAAGGAAAGAGGGAGTTTTTGATAAAAGGTGTTGGGACAACCGAGTAGCCATTTGCTGAATCAGTACCTTCCTTTGCATACTCATAATAACTCCAAATGGATCAAAGATTTTAAATGTTTAAAACAAATATGAAAGCACAATTAGAAAAGACAGGTGAATTCCTTTATAACCATGCGATAGGAGGTCTTTTGTAATTAATATCCAAGGTCCAGAAGCCTTGAAAGAAAAGATTGATAAACTAAAATACATAAAAATAAAATTTCTGTGTGGCAAAATAAATATATAAGCAAATAAACTACAGTAAGTTAGGGGAACTCATATCAGACAAAAGTCTAATCTTCCTAATTTATAAACAGGTCCTACGAGTAAGGAAGAGAAATACCAACAAATTCACTGAGAAAGACAAATTACCCGAAACGTGTGAAAAGATGTCTAGTCCTGCTCATAATTAGAAATGCAAATTAAACCTCTATTTCTTAACATTTTTCTTTTTTAAAGGACAGAAATCAGGGCCAGCCTGTGGCTCACTTGGGAGAGTGTGGTGCTGATAACACAGGTTTGGATCCCTATATAAGGATGGCTGGTTAGCTCACCTCGGATAGCGTCATGCTGACAACACCAAGTCAAGGGTTAAGATCCCCTTACTAGTCATCTTAAAAAATAAATAAATAAATAAATAAATAAATAAAGGACAGAAATCAGCTCTATAACATTTCATCATCAGATTTATAGAAATCAAAAACCTAACAAATCGATGGTGAGGTTGTTGGTGAACAGGTACCTTGCTGGTGGGCATGCAGAATCTTACAGTCCCTGTGTACGTGAATCTCTAATTACCCACATGACAGATGCATTTATCTTTTGACCCAGCAGTCCTATTTCTGGGAATCTGACCTACAGATATAGCAGCTGCACACATTAAAAAATGATGTATGAACAAGGTTATTGATTGTGATATTGTTTGTGAAAATGCAGGGTTGGAAACAATCCAAGTGTCTGTCTGTAGATGGGACTGGTTGAATATGGTGTGTCCGTGCATCATACTGTGATAATCTCTATTAATTGGGATATAGTGATTGGAAGACAGTAGCAGAAATATACTTAGTATGTTATTTTTTGTGTAAGAAAGGGGCAGTAAGTATTGCCTAAAGAAACAATGGAAGAATAAAAAGAAACTAATAAAAACTGGGGTATAAATAGAATGGATGGGAACATGGATTTGGAGTAAGGTGTCTCAGTGTGTACCTTTTCGTGTTTTGACTTGAGTCATATAAATGTATTAGCTGTTAAATTTTTTAACTTGAAAAATTTGTACATTAAAAGAGTGTAAAATATATTCATTGACACTTTTCATTGATACTTTCAGGAATATAAGAAATATGAGTTTCAGTGACTTCCCCTCTAAACAAATATTTAGCCCTTTAAAATTAATATAAGGGCTGGCCTGTGGCTCACTTGGGAGAGTGTGGTGTTGATAACATCAAGGCCATGGGTTTAGATCCCTATATAGGGATGGCTGGTTAGCTCACCTGGGAGAGCATGGTGCTGACAACCCCAAGCCCCAAGGGTTAAGATCCCCTTACCGGTCATCTTTAAAAAAATAAATAAAATTAACATAACTAACATTTCTAATCATTCATAAAACACTGGTGGTAATTCCTTAAACCAGAACAAATAAAGAAACCTGCTGTTCGGGCCGGCCCGGTGGCGCACTGGAGAGTGCGCCGCTTGGGAGCGTGGCAGCGCTCCCGCCGAGGGTTAGGATCCCATGTGGAGACCGGTTCCCGCTCACTGGCTGAGCGCGGTGTGGGTGCAACACTGAGGGTTGTGATCCCGTCACCGGTCCCTGGTACGGGCGTGACACCGAGGGTTGTGACCCTGTTACCGGTCAGTAAAAAAGACAAAAAGGAAATAAAAAAAAAAAAGAAACCTGCTGTTACTATTAATATCATTAAGTAGACTTTCTAAGGCAATAAGAAAAAAGGATGAAGAGGAATAGACATTGGAAAGGAAGGGAACCAAAATATGATTTGCACTCGGAAAATCTAAAAGGATCCACAGAAACATTATTATATCTTGTATTTTTAAAGTAGGTAGATAGGGGATAAATATATAATAATTGCATTCTTAAATAAATACAAAATGATGAAAGCTCTTACTCAGAATGGCTATAAATAAATAAGAGTAAACGAGAGATATTTTATTGGTAAGTGTAAAAGGATTCTTAAATAATGGGAGAGACAGTTCTAAATGGAAAAAACTAAAGTCATGTAAAGAAGTTGGTGCCCTCCACATTTATTTATACTGTAAATACAGTGGGACAAAATTTTTTGAAAAGGTAGAAGTGGATATTTTGGCTGGTCTTATTAGACATATTACAAAACAATAGCAGTGTGGTACTAATGAAAAATAGCCAAGATATAGCCCAACTATGTATAACTAACGATAATGTAAACATTTCAAAACAAGATGAAAATGAGACTATTGTAAATGGGACTGAGATAACTGGATAATAATTTATAAGAAAGTTAATTTCAGCCTATTCTATATACTGAATTAAATTCCGAATGTGTCAGAGTTAATATAAAAATAAGTCATAGAAAAATGGCCAGAAAACAGAACAAAACTTAGATCTTGAAAGAATTATGTGTTTTTTTTTCTGGTTTTAAGTTATGGAGTTACAGAGGAAGACTTCCATTTAAAAATACTTACATTGGTAATGATTGACAAAGAGATTAAGATCTGAAATATATAAAATTTGCTTAAATTTATAAAAGTCTGAACCCAGTAAATTATTTTGCAGAGGCAAAATGCAAAGTAAAACTATAAAGAGGAGCCATTTTATACCTATTAAATATTTTTGAATTTAATGCTGGCAAGATTAGGTGAAATCGTTACTCACATGTTGATGATTATATTGAAATTGATATAGCCTTTTTGGAAGCAGTGTGGACAGTTTATGTCAAGAGATGTGATAAAAATTGGTGAATGGTTTAACTCACTATTTTCTTTATCCCAAGAGAGTGATTAAAAAGAATAATTAAAAAGAAAAGAAAAAATCTACTGGTGTGAAACTGCTAAATTCAGCAGAGATTCACAATTTCACCTTCAGGATCAGCCACATATCTAAGTGGTTGATACCCTTTGCATTACTCTCAGTCAGTTGTCCAGAGTTTAGGGATCCCCTGTTTTCCCATATGTTCACAGCATACTTTCCCACTTTGTTACCTAGTCTTTATAATCTGTTGTTTTACAGTTGGCTGGTTTAGCTCAGTTAGTTAGAGGACTGTGTTATAATCTGTTATTTTATACACTTTTTTTGATGTATAATATAAATACAGAAACACCTATGGATCATAAGTATACAGCTCACATTTTCACAAAATGTGCACACTCATCTAACTACCACCCAAAATTGACTATTCCTAGCACCATGAAAATCCCTCTTCTGCTCTCCACCCAGTCATGACTCCCCTTCCTCCCCTAAAAACAACACTGCTGACCTCGGGTAGCATAATTTCAATTTGTCAATTGTGATTTTTTCTTTTTACAGTCAACATTTATTGAGGGCTGACTATGCCAGACACTGATTTCCTCCTCTGATAATCCTTTTTTGTTTCTCTTGTTTCTGTTTTTCTTTTTTGGTGGCTGGCTGGTTCAGAGATCCAAACTCTTGACTTTGATGTTATAACACTACACTGTAACGAACTAAGCTAACAGCTAGCCCCTAATCTTTTTAATGGCCAATAATAATCCCTTGTATGAATATACTGTCTTCTTTAATCTTGATCATTTGAATTGTTTCCAGTTTTTTATTGTATAGGATATTGTAATGCTATTCAGTGCTATAATATTGTATTATTATTTGACTAATTTAATTAGTGAAAATCTAGAAGCAATTCATCTTACCATTGATTTAGTAGACTCCTAAAGATTATGAGTTGGGCCATTTATTATTTATGTCCTTCATCCCCTAGTCCTTAGCTGAGGGCTCTACATCTAGTATAAGGTCAATATGAACTTGTTGAGTAATTCGTGCCTATTGAGAAAACAAACATGAAATCTTCCAGTGCAGTCCCACTCATTTTATTTTTCAAAAAAGGTAAGAGAGGATTGTGTGCTTGGATTATAGAGGATGGAAAGATTTATCAGTCATGTATCCCACCCTTAATAAGAATGGAAAAGGAATGTTGATGGCATGTATCTGCCTATCTTCAGATTTCTGACTTTCAGGATTGTTTCATGAGAAATCTGAAGTTAGTAAATTCTCTCTTTGTTTCAACAGTCAATGACAGTAATCCTGAGGGTGAAGATCTTCAGAAAGAACCTGTAGAGAATGAAGATTGTAGAGAAAAATCTTCAGATTGTGATGAGATGGATTGTTCTTTGGTCTCTAAGCAAACTCCAGATTGCCATGAAGAAGAAAGATTAAATACATCCATTCCACAGGAAAGGAAAATGAGAAATCTTTTAGTTACCATTGAAAATGATACTCCGCTAGAGGAACTGTCAAAATATGTGGACATCAATGTTCTTGCACTAACTCGAAATAGGAGAACAAGGAGATGGTACACTTGTCCACTGTGTGGGAAACAGTTTAATGAAAGTTCTTACCTTATTTCGCATCAGAGGACTCATACTAGAGAAAAACCCTATGACTGTAGTCACTGTGGGAAAAGCTTCAATCACAAAACAAACCTCAATAAACATGAGCGGATCCATACAGGAGAGAAACCTTATTCCTGTTCTCAATGTGGTAAAAACTTCCGTCAAAATTCTCATCGGAGTCGCCATGAAGGAATCCATATAAGGGAGAAGATATTTAAATGTCCAGAATGTGGGAAAACCTTCCCAAAGAATGAAGAATTGGTGTTTCATCTGGAGAGTCATGAGGCTAAGAGGCCATATAGTTGCAAAAAATGTGGGAGAAGGTTTGGCCGGCTGTCAAACTGTACCCGACATGAGAAAACTCACTTACCATATAAGACCCGAAAGCAGAAGTGATATCAGGAAAGGTCTGATGGTCTGCCTCAACCTGAAAAGTTTCCTAGGGAATTCTGAACTCCCGGGCTGCCTGAAAAGATACAGATATGTGGAAACCTCATTGTAGCCAAAATTGGATAAATACTCATCTTGGCTGAAACCTCAAATTGTTAGAAAATTCACAGGGAAGGAAACATCCTCAAGGGCTATACCTCAGTTAGTATACTGGCTTTTTGGACTAAGGAGCTTTCTTTTGTGAAGTTGCACAACAATTTACAGATCACAGATCCATTTCCAGAGAAAGACTTTTGAGTGTGAATATGGAGCCTGCTTCCTTGCAAGGTGAACAGAATGACTCATATCTATTGAAAGTATATCCATTTATTCCCCCACATGGGAATTCACACTTGAGAAAAGAGAAATAGCACAAAGGTCCTTATCTGAAGCTGTGGTCCCATGAAAGAACTAGACTACTGATTTGTTAAGCCAACAGCTTTTAATAGCAATGCATATAATCCTCTAAGAACTCCCTGTTAAGGCTTGAGTGTTGAATTGTTTACTTTGGAATATAGGAAAACTACAGCAATTGAATGTCAAAAACTTACTCTCATTTGTATGTGATCTGAACTAGTGATCAGTTTCAATAACATCTGCAATTTGTGGTGAAAATTGACTTCTACAGAAATCCTTTTCATAACAATTTAAAAGTGTCTGCTGTTCTTACTGCATTTTGTTCATCTGTTAATCTCCCAAACAGCTGTCTCATGCCCTTCCCTTGCCGAAAGTTTGGATCTCTCAGGCCCAGCCATCCAGGCCAATTACTGGAAAAGCTCTTCAGGAACTTGTCCCTCTGCTGAGCCAAGATCTCATGTGCTAGGAAGGAAACCCTAAGAGCTTGAAGAATAGGGACAGACCTGGTGTCAGGAAAAAGTTGGCTTGGATCCATGGCTGGTCAATAACCTTACCATATGCTTAATTCCCCTCTTACACAGTTATCAGACCTTTGGCAGTGGTTTGGACGCTACCTCACAAGGCAAAGTGTTGTATTTTTAGAAATTATGTCTCTAGTGGTTTGCTCACATTGCCCCTCAAGAGACAGGATTCCAGGTGTCTTCTTTGTAGTGGATATTTGTTGTCTTTGGCTTCCTGATATCCAGACCTTCCTGTCCTTTCTGCCTAGAGGCAAGCCCAGTGGTGCCTTCACAGGACCGGTCCTGTGGTGTGATTTAGGGATTCTTGATCAGTTTTGCTTGTTTTAGGTTTCCTAAAGTTTTACATTGGTACTTTGGTTGAAATGTGTTAATCCTGAAAACTATTTGGGAAAAATTAACTTTACAGATTTTGTTTCCCATCCAGAAATATGCCTTTCCATTTGTCAGAGGTACAGTATTATATTCCTGAGTACACTTTTCTAATTTTCTTCACTTAAGTTCTACACAGTTTTATTGTAAATAGTTTTTTCCATTATATTTTTCTAGTTGGTTATTACTCTTACATAGGAAAGTTATTTTCATTACATATTTGTGTAATTAGCCACTTCACTGAATGTTCTTAATTTTTAATAATTTCTCAGTGTAGTTCTGCTGTAACTTGTGGTAAAATTGTACCATCTATGAATAATAGTTTTGTTTCTTCCTTTCTGCCTGTTGGTCTTTGGTTTGTGTTTTGTTTTTTTCTAACATAATTTTTGTTTTGATACAAAGCATTCTGAAAGAGGGAAATTTTTTATGATACAGTTGAGTTCTAAATCATAATTTTAAAACAACAAGTAACAGCAAAACCCAAAGAACAGTTAAGGGCCACAGAAAAACTGGCAACTTGGTATTTCAAGGCTGCAGTATACTTTAAAACCAGGGACAAAGGGCTGGACATTAGCTCAGTTGGTTAGAGTGTGATGCTTATAACACCAGCGTCCAGAGTTCAATCCCTATATTGGGCAGCCACCAAAAAAAGGGACAAAACTGGCTGCCAATAATATTATTCATGTTCTTTGGTAGAAGTCTGGCCAGTGCACTAGATAGGGATACTAGGACCACACAGTAGGACAGTGATAATGAGGCAGCAGTGTTGCTAGGTCCGCCATGCTATTGACCCATACAGAGGATCCACCTGTGCACCCAGAAAACAGGCAGAGCAGCTGCAGGACAGTGAGTGGAGAGGGTGGGGGCCCCCACGCAAGATAGCCCTATTTGCTGCCCAAGGATTGGATGTTGACTGGTCTTTGTGCAGCCATGGCACAGTCTCTGTATTAGTCTGTTTCTGTTGCTTGCAGCAGAATATCTGAAACTGGGTAATTTATGAAGAAATGAATTTAGTTCTTATGGTTTTGGAGGCTGAGAAGTCCTCAGCCTGGGGACACATCTGATGAGGGCCTTCTGGGCAGGAATTCTCTACAGGGTCCCACAGAAACTAGGGAGTCATATGGCAAAAATGGGCTGAACAAGAGAACTAACCTCACTAGCTCTCCTTTTTTTTTTTTTTTTTTTTTTTTTTTTTTTTTCCGTGTCCAGCAACGGATCCCAACCCTCAATGTTGCCCCCGTACCGGACCAGGGACCGGCAACGGGATCGCAACCCTCGGCGTTGCTCCCACGCCTCGCTCAGCCAGTGAGCGGGAACCAGCCTGTATGTGGGATCCGAACCCTCGGCGGGAGCGCTGCCACGCTTCCCAAGCGGCGCACTGTAGCAGTGCGCCACCGGGCCGGCCCCCTAGCTCTCCTTTTAAAGCCATCAGAACCATGCCCATTACTCTGGGAATGGATCAGTCCACTGATGAGGACATAGTCCTCACAATCTAATCACCTCTTAAAGGCCCCACCTTTCAAAATAATGTAATTGGATTTCCCACCCTCTTAACATTGTTACAATGAGGGTTGACTTTCCAATGCACAAACTTTTGGTGGACACATTTAGCCTGTAGCAGTCCCTGAGGCCCATTTTTTAAAAGTATGGGTGGATGATGCTACCATGACCCTAACCCACCCCACGCACCAGGGAGGTTCCTGTGGTTAAGGTTGCTGGGCAGAATTCAGCTGGGTAGCTTGTAGCCCGAGGGGAGTATCCTTCCTCCATAGAGCCTGTACCCCCTGCCCAGGGGCAGTGCAGGACCAGGAAACAAGCTGGGATGAGGGGTTTCCCCCAAAATGTGAAAGCCCCTGGGAAACTGTTGGATGGGTAAGTGCCTAATAAGGAGCCCAATAACTAGTAAAATGGAAAAAAGTAAACATAATAAAGTTTTTCAATAAAGCAGCAAGAAATAGGAAAAAAGGATCAAAGATCCAATCCCAAGAGAAATTACAAACCAAAAGTATTCATCCCATAAAGTCACAGTGCTAGCACACACAGCCCATGGAGTTTCCAGGAGTGAGAGTGGGGGACAGATTCAGAAAATCTCATAAAATACGTATGTAGCCACAAACTGACAAGCGCTAGGAAGGATAGGATTCTAGAAGAGTTACAGGCGAGTTTTCCCAAAAGTGGCCCTGGGGAAGGCCATTAAAATAAATCAACAATACTTCTTAAAGCATAGTAAGAAAGACTTTATTTAGGACCATCGTGATAGGTATAGGGACCACTGCAACAGGGTCTTACAGGGGGAAGAGAGAGTGGGCTCAACTCAAAATACAGCATGGGCAAGGGGGAATTTACAGCCAAGGAGCAGGGTGGAGGTGAGTGGATGGAAAATTACTAACAGGAAGCATCGGTGTTAAGGGGGGTTCTGGATAAACCAACCTTATAAGAGTGTGTGTGTGTGTGTACTATGGAGAATGTGTGTATGTGTGTGTGTGTACTATGGAGATCTGAAGAACCTAATAAGATTCCTGCTGAAGACAGGCCAGGGTAATCAGACATCACCTGGGGGATAGTGGAGGATGAGGAACCTGATTAGATATTGACAGTTATCAGATATTGATGGTGGGTGGGGTGGGGCAGGGTGGGGTGGGGGGTCCTTGTGAAATTGACCAAGCAGGGATCTTTGCTAAAACTAGATTTTACAAGGAATTGTACAAATATGTCTAGGAGAAGGTTCAGAAGCCTGACTGAAGTTTGACCGAGCAAAGAATCTTTGTCAGCTCCCAGGTGATTCCAATGGTCAGCCAAGACAAGAGCTACTGCTCTAAATGCTGAAGTGCCCCAAGGCTGTTCTTAACTCACTTCCTGTCTTTTCTGTGGATGCTAGCTCTCTACATCAGAGGTTTTTTTTTTAACACTAGCAGCACAGTAGAATCACCAAGATAGCTTCTAAAATTACCAATTCCTGTGGCCAACACCCAGATAATATAATTCTATTGGCCTGGGGTAGGGTGGAAAACTGCTCACGGTAATCTCACTCAATTTCATGTACTATCTATACAGTTGACGTTTTTGTAATACTTCACCCAACAACAGCAGAATACACACTCTTCTCAAGCTTACATGAAACATTCACCACTATAGACCATATTATGAGCCATAAAACACTCTAGCAAATATGAAGGAATAGAAATTATACAAAGCATACTCTCAGATCCAATGGAATTAAACTAGAAATCAATAACAGAAGGATAGCTGGAAAATCCCAAAATGTTTATAGACTGAACAACACACTTTTTTTTTTTTTTGTCCTTTTTGAGACCGGCCGCACCGCGCTCAGCCAGTGAGCGCTGTGAGCGAACCGGTCATCCCTATATAGGATCCGACCCCGCGGCGGGAGTGCTGCTGCACTCCCAGCGCCGCACTCTCCCGAGTGTGCCATGGGCTCGACCCGAACAACACACTTCTAAATAACAAGTGGGTCAAAGCAGTATCAGGAGAAATTTTAAAATATTTTGAACTAAATGAAAATTAGAATACAACTTGCCAAATTTGTAAGATGCAGCAAAAGCAGTGCTTACAGGGAAATTTATAGCATTGAATGCATATATTAGAAAAGAAGAAAGATCTAAAATCAATAATCTAAGCATTCACCTTAGGAAACAAAAAAATTAAGAGCAAATTAAATCCAAAGTAAGAAGAAAAAAAAATAATGTAAATTTTAGCAAGAAATCAATGAATTGAGAACAGCAATTCAGTAGAAAAAATCAGTGAAAACAAAAACAGGTTCTTTGAAAAGAGCAACAAAATTGATAAACCTCTAGCAAAGTTAACCAACAATGACAAAAAATGAAGATACAAATTACTGCTAACAGAAACTGATCCCATGAACATGAAAAGGATAATAAAATAATTTGTTCAGCCGATAAACACATCAAAAAAGATTAATTGGTGAATTCTACAAAACATTTAAGGAAGCAATGATGCCAATTTTCCACCATCTCTTTCAGAAAATGGAAGAAGAGGGAATAATTCCTAACTCATTCTATGAGGCCAGCATTACCCTGGTGTTACCAAAACCAGACAAAAGACATTACAAGAAAGGAAAACTACAACCAATGTCTCTCATAAACATAGATGCAAAAATCCTCAACAAAATATTAGGAAATGCAATTCAACAATGTATGAAAAGAGTTATACACCACGACCAAGTGGGATTTATTCAAGGTACACAAGGCTGGTTCAATATTTGAAAATCAATTAATGTAATTCATCACATCAACAGGTTAATGAAGAAAAAATCATATGATCACAACAAGATGTAGAAAAAGCATTTGACAAAATTCAAAATTCATTTATGATACAAACCCTCAGCAAAGTAGAAATAGAGGGGAGCTTCCTCAGCTTAACATGTACAAGGGTTATCTCTCTTGGTTAGAGCATAACAGCAACGTCAAGGACTAAGGATCCCTGTACCAGCCAGCTTCCAAATAAGTAAGTAAGTAAGTAAGTAAGTAAGTAAGTAAGTAAGTAAGTAAGTAAGTAAGTAAGTAAGTAAAAGTAAGTAAGTAACATGTATGAGAACTTACAGCTAACATCACACTTGATGGACAGAAATTAGATGCTTTCCCTCTAAGATCAGGATTAAGGAACAAGGATCAGGAACAAGGATATACCCTCTCACTGCTCTTATTCAACATTGTAGTGGAAGTACTAGCTAATGCAATAGGACAAGTAGAGGAAATAAAAGGTATACAAACTGGAAAGGAAAAAATAAAACTGTCTTTGTTTGGAGATGACATGATTTTCTATGAAGAAAATCCTGAAGAATAGATTAAAAACAAAAAACAAAAACAAAAAAACCCTCCTGGAACTCCTAAGTGATTATAGCAAGGTTGCAGATACAAGGTTAATATACAAAAGTCAATTGCTTTCCTATATACCAGCAATGAACAATTGGAATTTGAAATTAAAAATGCAACACCTTTTACATTAGCACCAAAACATCTTTAGGTATAAATCTAACAAAATATGCACAACATCTGTATTAGGAAAACTAAAAAACTTGGTGAAAGAAATAGTCAAAGAAGGTCTAAATAAATGGAGAGCTAGTCAATGTATATGAATAGGAAAATTCAATATTGTCAAGATGTCTAACCCCTATATACAACTTTTTCTTGATATCTACACTTGGATGTCCAATGGGCATCACAAATTCAACATGGCCAACACAGAAATGTTGCAAGAATAAAATATATGAAAGGAGAATTTATAGTTCAGAGTATAGAAGATAGTTAAGGGGCATACCAACCAATTATAATGTGCAGACTTTGAGTCTTGATGCAAAAATATGAAA